ATTTGGCAAATGCTACAACTTTGAATAGATGTGGACTTGACAAAGAGGGAAGGGAGACTGCTAGCAAGATCATTCAGCTGCTAAATGGATTCTCCTGGTCCTTTTCCTGGCCAGTTTCGGTGGCCCTACATACATGATGACTTAGAGAACAGATTATCTTTTTAAAATTTTGGAGCTCTTGCGTACTACATGCCTTGCACTCCAGATTATTTTCTCTCTGAATCTACAAGTATGGCTAAGATCCCAAGAGTCAAACTAGACATTACTTTTATTGCATGGTGACATGTGGAAAAGAGAGGCCAAGTGGAGGTTTTTTCCTAAGGTTTTTTCTTCACCTGGAAGAAAATTCTCAGTGGGGGCATGATGGGTAGAAACAGGTTATATCGCCTCTTCTTGTGTGCCATGTTCCAAGGATGAAAATCATGTTTCCTACTACGCCCAGTATTAAAAATGCCTAAATGCCAAACATAGTTGTTAACCCCATGCTTTAAATAATTATTTTAGGGCTTTTCCCCTCCCCTGCAGCAGCCCCCTGACAAGCTGCTCTAGGAAGGGCAGGGGACCCCCCTCCCCCGCAAATGTGGAATGAGGCATGAAGAGCTATTGAAAGAGGGAGAATTTGCCCAAATGTCTGTCCAGTTTTGGGTGATTTTTCACTCACTCCTCTATGCCATCCTACTTTATTCTGGAGGAGCCCCTGAACCTCCAGAGTTTTTCAGGCCATTCAGTGCAGAGAAGTGGGAAGCAAGTTTGCTTCTTTGGGTTTCTTTATCTAAGGATCCGAGCCTGTATATTCTTCCTTGGGAGAGCATCATGATTTATTTCTGAGTAGATGCATGTGTAGGATTAAAGTATACAGCTTAATGTTATGCATGTCTGCTCTGAAGTAACTCCATTTAGATCAGCGGGGTCTACACCAAGGTGGGGTGAATAGAATTGCGGTCTAAATTTTGACTGAGTAACCAGTCCATGGTTTTATGTTTGCAACCACTAACACAAAGCATACATTCAAAGGGTAGTGGATGAGGAAGAACGTACCTTTTCCTTCTTTATTCATCTTGTTAAGATTGGTGCTTGAAGTATGCCAATGCTTAGTACCATGGCAGGAGGGTGCTGCTGTACTCTCTTGCTTGTGGATTCCCCACAGGCAGCTGGTTGGCCACTGTGTGTCCAAAATGCTGGACCTTTGGTCTGATCCAGCAGGGTTCCTCCTACATTCCTAAAGTGCAACTAATTGGTCTAATGATTGTGTGTATCGCTTGCTTCATCTATACCTCCCCACAGCCAAAGCTCTCCAGACCCACATCCAGTCCACTGTCAGAACCAGGCCCTGGTTTAGCACAGCCTCACCCGCTGCTGGTGAAGAGGAGATACAGAGCTGCGTGTCATCGGCATACTGAGTGCAGTGCAGTCCAAACTCTGGATGACCCCACTCAATGGATTCACATAGCTATTCCACGTATATACTTGTATGGGCATACAAGGGACACTGTGGATGATCCAGTTGCTTCACTTGTTATGAGGCAGGATACCCTGTAACTTAGATTGCAGAGTCCACCTCCCCCCTCCACCAAAAAAAAAAAAAAAAGGTTTTTGCACCTTTAGGAGCCAGACAGAGAAATCCCACCAGATGTGATTCTGCTGTGATCGAAGAAACCACATCTTTTCCCCCCTCTTTCCCTTAAGCTACCTAAAAGGCTGGGCCTGGAAATTCACAAGGAATCTGTACTTAGGGCTGGAGCACAGTTCCTCTTGAAACATTTTAATAATATTGTGTGGGTAAAGCTGGACATTTGTTTTTTTTCTGAACCACTTTGTAATATAAACACAGTACTTCATGGTCATGGTTTCCCTCATGTTTATTCCTGCTTTGTATTTCTCATGTCGCTAAGTAATACTTTATTAAGGGAGGTGAGGATGAAAGCTGATCTGGAGTGATGTTCTGCTGCAGGAATAATAAGCAGTGAGTCCCCATTGGGCCACCTGCACCCTCAGGCACCTCTCTCGGGTCCTGGCAGTGTGCCCTACCCCTCCTACTTAAAATTAAAAAATCAATACTTTTTCTTACTGGCATTTAGGATGGCTTTGAAATATCTTTCTGTTAGTCCTAAAAACTGGGTTCAAAGAAGTTGTTTTGTTTGTTGGGGCTCAGATCCCACCATTGCCTTTTGGGCAGGTTGCTTGTTCTTTGCCAAGCCTCCCATGGCAGCCATATTGTGGCTTCTCAATTAGACTAATGTGTCCAAAGATTGCCTACTCTTGCTCTACTGCAGGTTGTGCTACTATCACCTCCATTTTCCTCCTCCTCTGGTCTTTTCATGGAGAAAGTCAAAAAGTAAGAACAGGGAACCTGGTACCCTTCAGATGTACCTTCCAGGGATCCATCAGCCTCAACCACTGATAGTGGTCAGGTGCAGACAGACTGTCTGCACCTGACCTAGAACAGGCACTCCCTTGGATTTTAAAACTACCTCTGCAATATTTTGATACTGATAGGGTAGTAGATTTATGTCTGCCTCTTGCAGACTCTCAAAAATGGAACATTAACTACCTATGGAAGCACCAAGAAGTAATACAAGGTTGGGCAACTTGTGGACCTCCAGATGCTTTGGCCGACTACTCCCACCATCCCCCGTCATTGCTTATGCTGGCTAGGGCTGATGGTTGAAGGCCAGATCTCCTGGAGAGCCACATTCCCACCCTTTTGGCAAAAGAAGAGGCCTTTCAAACTATACTTGACTGGTTCTGCTGCCATGCATCACTGAACCAGGAACAGTATTTCCCCCAATATGAGAAGGAAGGGATGGTCAAAGCTTCATTTGCTAAACTTCTGTGTTGAGCTGTAGTTAAAGAAACAGAAACAACTTAATTTGGAAAGCCTTTGAAAAATGGGGGAGAAAAAACCATGGTTAAGTTACAGGTATAGAGGAAGATACTCTTATCACTTAAAATTCACCACACTGCACATGCCATTGGCACTGTGCTCCTCCTAAAGTCCAGATGGAGCACAATGGTTATGGGCTGGTTTTCCTTTCAAAGCTTAGTTTTCCTGCCTTGTAATCGGAGGAAAACAGTGATGTTATGAGCTATTAAGGACTCTTAGATCATCCTGTATATGGAATGGGAGAGGAGGTCTGTCCATAGTAGCATGTTCTAAGAATAGTATGCAATAATAGAGATTCCAATTTTGCTCAGGATCTTAATTTTTATTATTTACTTGGCATAATGACCAATTCATTATGTAGTTATTTCCATGTATATAAATTATTTTGTCCTTGGTTCAACTTTTCAGTGTGAACTTTGAATATGATTCCTGACTGATCTGAGTTAAAATGCTGGTTGTCTTGTTTTGTGCAATGGCATTTTCATCCATTGTTTTCTGTTTGTGCATTGTCTTCCTAGAAGGTTTACTCAGCCTTCTGGCTTTGAGATAAGAAATGCCTCAGCCTTAATTAGCAATCTATTCCATTTGAACAACTTGCGGGAAATAGTTTTCCTTCAGGAAGGACTGAAGCTTTCCTCTGTTTTTAAGTACAGCTTTTCTGATGCCCTTGGCTGACATTCCATTTTTCTGGGAGGATCCACAAATGTGTTCCTTCAAAAAAAGAAAAGAAAAGAACCCTGTTTGCATTTTTACTCCAACCTGAAGTTACTTTGCAAGAGAAAAAAGACTTAATATTCAGGGCAACTATCAAGGGAAGGAATTTAATACACATGCCCTGTCGCCGCTCATAGCTAATACCTTGTCACAGCCCTCTGTTGCCACGGCTGTTTCTGGTTTTAGGGACTAATTTCAATCCCTCTGATACTTTCCTGGAAGGATAAGATGACTTGTGCAGATTATGTCCCACCTGCCTCCCTGCTTCAGTTGGGCTTGCAGCACATTTGCTCCCAGGAGACCCATCTTACATAAGTAAATGAACCAAAGGTGAAACTTTTCTCAATATTAATTTGCTTTGCTTGGTGAACGAGACATCCATGTAATCAAAACAGATGACCAAAGCAGATGTCTTTCCCAGGAATACAGAAATAGGGTTTTAGATCTAGGGATATGGTAAAAACAAAGGTCAATTATTCAAGTGCAAAGAATGGAAGGACATTTTTAGCATGGTTCAATTCTTGCCAGAAGAGGGAGATAGGAACCTTCTTGAGACCTTCACTTGTCCTGATATGGCCCTATCCTTTTCTTTGGAAGTAAGCTTCTTCCTCTTCCCTGCCCCAAGTATTACCTATCTGTGCAGAGTAAATAATGCAATAAGGTGGATTATGGTAACCTCACCATCCCTTCTTTGCACATTTCCATTGCCCTCATCATGTGGAGGACAACATTCTCAACTTTATCAGTGGACACATTTTACATGTTTGGCACCCTGGAATCTACTTGTGAAGAGCAGTGGTAGCACATGAAGAGGGTGCAGTGCTCCTATTGTGCTCTTCTTTATTGTACATAGATAAGGAACGCATCAGTAGGGCTTGTGACCATGTCAGGCATGAACATCTGAGCATCTGTACAGTTCTACAGGCTATATGATTAAATGTATATCCTGTCTTTCTTCTTTCATGAAACTTGAGGCATTCCCAGATTGTCTGCCCTCTATACTGTAATATTATAATACTGTATTAATCTATCATTGTACTTTATGTTGATTTTTATCATTATTGTTTTATATTTATTACTGTATTTTGTAAACTGCCCAGGGAGCCTTTGGGCTGATGGGCAGTGTAAAAAATACAAATGAATGAATAAATATTGATCAGCCCCAGACTACTTAGCTTTATCAAGATGGCTGCCTCATGGTTAGTCCTTATTGGTTGGTTGGATTGGTTAGTCCTTGAATTATTTAGATGTTGTTTTCTCTAGCCTTGGTGTCTGGCTCAGCTTGTTCTTCCACCAGAATTTCCTCTTTCATATTTAATAGATATGATCATATAGTACTGGGGGTACAGTTTCCATGGTCTACTTAATTTATTTCCTTCCTTTCTTTCTTTCTTTGACCTAGAGCAAGTCATGGCGGAAAATCAAGAACATGGTGCACTGGTCCCCCTTTGTTATGTCATTCAAGAAGAAATATCCTTGGATTCAACTAGCAGGACATGCAGGTAAAGGAGATCACATTGTGCTGCATAAATCTCAGAAGAAAACTTCAGGGTATGATAGGAAGGTGTTGAGGAAGTCTCTTGGTAGATTTAAGATAATTAGCTACCTTGACATAAATTGCTTCCGGAAATTGAATTCTAAGTGCTTGCATCTCATCCTACTGTTACCTCTACAGAGGCAGGATAAGTGAGTGTGACCATGACTCATAATGTGCAGGCCCTTGGAAAACCTGTGGTATTTAGGATAGATGATTTCAGTTTTCTCCAGTTTTAATTCACATGTTAATGGATTGCCCATATAACAAGGACACAACTTTGCTGCAATCAAATGATCTGAACTCTTTATTATAGCAAGCCTTTGTTCTGTCCCAAAACTACAGACCTCTATTTTTCCACCAGATCTGAAGGGAACCAGTCTAATCTAGCTCTCTACTTGCTTAATCAAGATATCCTGACTCTATAGCCCCAGCAGACTTCCCTCTAGTTTCCACCTGCTTCCAGATGATAGGCGTCAACCTCCTTCCAGGATTTCCAGTTGTATAGCCTACCACCAAAGTACACTTTGTTAAAGTACGCTACAGAGTATCTGCTATAGGATACCTAAAGAGTACCTATAATGAACACTAACTGCTCTTTAGAAGGCCAGATACTGAAGATGAAACTCAAGTACTTTGGCCACCTAATGAGAAGGAAGGACTCCCTGGAGAATAGCCTGATGCTGGGAACAATAGATGGCAAAAGAAGAAGGGGACGGCAGAGGATGAGGTGGCTAGATGGAGTCACTGAAGCAGTTGGTGTGAGCTTAAGTGGACTCCGGGGATGGTGGAGGACAGGAAGGCCTGGAGGAATGTTGTCCATGGGGTCGCGATGGGTCAGACATGACTTCGACTAACAACAACAACATAATGTTAATTTTACCTTGCATGTCTAACCATCCTCTGGCATCCCCAGCCCAGTGAATATGCATCCCACACCATGTAACTGAATGAACTGAAGGTGGTCATGAGGCTCTGGGTGTGGTAGTAGTGGGCACACATTTCGTTTCATGAGTCTTGTCCCATTCGCATATGCAGCAGGGGCGTTGTACCAGGTAAAAGGAACACACAAGCTGAGGAATCCCTTATGAAAGAGTCTAGGGCAACAGATGGATGCTCCCCCTGCAATACCTTACTCCTCTCAGCAAGCTGCCCAAGCCACATTTTTACACTCCCATTTCATTTCCATAAATAGAACCAAGAACTGAAAAGTGCTTGGAACAAAGGGACTTCAAGGCTATAAGCCTTGGATCTGGAAACATTCCTGTTATGTTGTTTGGTCTTCAGGAACTCAGTGTAGTGACATACCCTGAACACACCATGTTCAAAGGAGTGGCTGTTAAACAACTTTTAATTGTGAGGTGCTTCTGAGTCTGAAGAAAAGTAGTGTGTATTTAACAGAAAGGTCCAGGTTTGGGCTGCTTGGCACACATTGGGGTGGGGGAAGCATCCATTGTTGCCAACTGTGTGTGTGTGGGGGGGACACTGCACTGGACACTGCCTGAAATCGTTGTAACTGCTCTTGGAGAACAATAGTGTAATCTTATTTTCACATCCCCTTCCCAGTTGAGGCTTCATGTAATACAATCTGGCATTTGCTGAACTGTCACTTAACCATTTTGGAATAGGGATAAGATATTCTAGAGCTATGTGAAGGCTGCCCAATGAAGAACCTGTTTCGAGTGCCCCCCTGCCTACCACCCAGCATCTGCCTTTCAGGTAGCTTCAAAGCTGCAGCTAATGGGAGGATACTGAAGAAGCATTGTGAGTCTGAACAGCGCTGTCTGGACCACCTGATGAGCGATGTCCTTAGGCCATACGTCCCTGCTTACCATGGAGACATCGTGAAAGATGGGGAGCGGTACAATCAGATGGAAGATCTCCTGGCTGAATTCGACTCTCCTTGTGTCATGGATTGCAAGATGGGAGTCAGGTCGGTTTTCTTTGTAGCAAAAGGCATGAGCTGCCTCTCTCCAGTGCCATCCAGGGGTGGTTGTGCTTAGTGTTTCCCTGCTCCAGTTCAGGGGATGCTGTTTTCAGAAAAAGTCAAGTGCAATGTCATGGTGTTGTGCATTTGTTTTACACAATGTTATGCGGGGGCCTGATTTCTCCCATAATGTCCAGTTTAGACCCTAAGGGTGACACATTTCTCCTGCTAGTGCCAAATGTACATTTCACTCCTCCCCACCCCCCAGAGGCAGAGGAAGTGCAGAGAGCAGGAAGTATGTGCACTGATTTGTCTCGGAGTCCTGGCTGATTGTGGCTGCTGTTTGCACTAATGTGAATGTGCAGTTTAGTTGTACATCAGATGTGCTTGCCGATCCCCTGAGGCCAGTTGTTCATGTGTGTCTGAACCCTGGCTGAGATGCTTGTTCCTGAAAAAGCAAATGTTTCCATCTTTGACCTTTAGGCATGAATTGACAAGTTATGACTCCCTGAGACAAAGCTCTGTTTTTTCCACTGGAGAATGAAAGGAACAATCTAGGGCAGGCGTGGGGAATCAGTTCCTTTCCCATTTCCTTGGACTACAGTTCTCATAATCACTGACCACTGGCAATGTTGGCAAGAGTTCATGGGTATGGTAGTCAAAGACATCAGGCATTTGCCTATCCATGTTCTGAATAACAGAATGTGTGTAGCTGTAGGTTGGAAGCACAGTGACCAGGATGAATGCTCTTCTGCATTCAGATTACTGTGGGAATTCAAAGCAATTTGGGACTGTAATGGTATGCCTGTGACCTGTGGGTTTTTTCACAAGCTAAATGTGTAATTCCACCTCCAGTAGGTAAGATTACAGTGCAGGCCTCGATGTAACCTGTGCAGAAAATGTCCTGAATAAAGCACCTATTTGGATGAACGTTACCTGTAACGGCAGTCAGTATATTGAATCGAGCTTTCTTCTCCTGCCTCTCCCCCACTCCAGGATAAAGAAATTTACTGTCTTACTGTCCTATGCCATGATGAGTTTACTCTTTGTGAGGGAAAAGGTTGTTTGCTCTGTTTGGCTTGGAATCTGCTTGCACTCAGGGAAAGCAAAGTTCAAATTAGCTGCATGAACAAATGGAAAAACATTCTAAGCTGGGCCAACCAGTACTTTTTCCCAAAAAAGTACATCCTTGTCAGGGAGATAATGGAAGATTATTACTTTGCCGTTTGCTTGACCTAGAAGCAACCTGTCGATCTGGTGCTCTGCAGAGTTTTAGCCTAGTGCTTCAAAAGTGTTAGTTGAGAGCCAGTGTGCTGTGGTGGTTAGTGGAGGGCTGGGGACCTGGGAGATCCAGGTTCTAGTCGTCACTCAGCCACATAGCTCACTGACTCTCAGCCTAAATTGCCTCACAGGTTTGTTCTTATAAAGATAAAAAGGAAGTATGTAAGCCACCCTGGGTTCCTTACTTAGGAAAAAAGATGGGATACAAAGCATTAATAATAATATTAATAATAATATAGAACTTGGATGCCTTCTGAGAACCTTGAGTAGCCAATTCAAACTGGAATAGATGCTTAATTAAATATTAACCATCGCTGACTCAGTATCTGCTGGAACCAAAGTGCTGAAGAACTGGAGGATGTGACAATGAGCAACAACTATGCTGCCAAAATATAACCTTCCCCAACCCGCCACGCTCCCTGTGTATTGGATTACAACTCCCATCCTCCCCATCCAGTACACTATGCTGGAGACATGCTCTGCTTGTGGGCTTTCCACAAGTTGTAAGCAAAATGCTGGCTTAAGTTGCAAGCTTCAAGCTGAGAACTGTGTAATAGTTTCCTGTCTCAACATGCCTACTCAGCCTTCACCAACATGGTACCCGCCATGTGTTCTGGACTGCCACCGCCTGTAGGTCCTACACAGCATGGCCAATGGTCCGAAATGCTAGGAGTTGTAGTCCAGCTTCACTTGAAGGGGACCAGTCTAGGGAAGCGTGCCTGAAACCCCAGTAGCATGTAATGTTAGAATACAGTATCTCATCTGATTCCCATGCGCTTTTCAGCCAGGCGAAGGGTCAGTCTGCCTTGTCTGAGACATAAAAACTACTGACAAGTAGTCAGAAACGTTCATGTCTGAAAGTACACTTTCTATCAAAGTTTTTATATGAGTTTGGCTTCTGAGGTATTGTGATCCACACAAATTTGTAGGTGTCTGTGAAATTTTTTAGATCCAGGATCTTAAGCTGAAGGCATGTTTGGGACGGTATAAGAGTCACTGGAGGGAGACTGGGCAATGGCATGGCATGAATTTTGCTGAATTAGGAGTGCTTCGGCAGTGCGCGCTGTTGCTGTTAGAAGGCAGAGACCTCTAGTGGGCAAAAGGGGATGCCTAACTTAAAATAACCCTTGCCCTTGCATTTTTAGTTCTTGCCCCACTCAACCCCAAGGGGGGCTTCAATTGGAACAACAGGTCAGTAGCGTTCTCACGTGCCCATGAGCCAAAAGACCAGCCTTCGTCAGCTTGATGTTCTCCAGTTCTGTTGGACTGTAACTCCCATCATTCCCAGCCAACATGGGCATCTTTGCTTTTTGAACCATATTAAGTGCTTGGGTCTCTGAAGGAAACACAAAGCAACATGTATGGCATGGGTCTGGATCAGGCCTGCCATGGCCTTCCATTCGGCCTGCGCCGCCATTCCCCACCTGCAGGCGGGCTTGCTGCATGGGCGGGGAGGTGGGGGCTCGCTCGCTCAGAGGTGGTCTCCGAGTGAGCAAGCCGCCGCCACCTGCCTCCCTTATGGAAGTGGTGGCTCGCTCACTCTCTCGCCCGAAGATGGTTTTGGATTCACTGGGAGATCTCCGAGCGAGCGAGCGAGCCACGTGTGCCCGATGCGGCCTCACACGTGCCTGATGGCACCTCACCAGCCCATGACGGTCACCGCAGCCTTTCAACTGGCCCCCTATTCAAAAGGTTTGAGGACCCCTGATGTGTGGGATATAAGGAGGCACAGAATAGAGGGTAACGGAAGACAGAGCAGCCTATTTGAAGCTTTGGTTCATTTCACCCGGCAAAATGGACATGCAGTGCTATATTGCAGCCAAATGCTGAGACATAGTGACTTTCCCTCTGCTATTTGACACCATTTTATAAATAAAAGATTATGGATAAAAAGTCTCACTTAGATTAAGAGTGTGGGATTTGTTGGGTGGCTCAAAACAGTGCTTCAGACTGCCATACAGAAATGTGTGCATCCCAACTTCACCTACTTAATTTTGCACAGAACTATTGCTGCCACTGTGTGCGCCAGTTTTTACCAGGCACTGAATAATCCTACCAAACATGCCAATTTTCACTGGGAGGAATTTGGGAAACCTTGCAATTAGAGGGATACAACAAAACATCACAGTGTGGAGTGCTTCTCTTCATGGCTGCAGCCACTCCAGTCCATTCTCTTTTCTTCCTCCCAGTTTTCTTTTTCCCTCTGATCACTGTTTCATGACTACTGAAGTACTCAGTTCTCACTGCAATGTTTTGAGGGATACCCCCAGTGGATTTTTTATAAAAGTTTTTTGTACTGGAGTAAACTTCAGAGTCTGTCTTTAGCTCTCCTTTATACACTGGCAGTGTGATTTAGGCTATATAAGTAATAACATCCCAATACTTGACTTAGGGATGATCCTAGGACTGGAATGAGGAATGTGCGACCTTCCAGATATTGTTGAACTATAATATTCATAATCCCGCACCATTAGGACTGATGGAAGTTGCAGTTCTAACAACATCTGGAAGACCCCATGTTCCCCATCCTTCTTCTAGAAATATGAGGGAAGCTGCAAATTTGACTACACAATTATTATGATGGGGATAATGCTTCAGTTTCTAATGTTAGTGGTGATGCACTTTGTCCCTGCAGAACCTACTTGGAGGAAGAACTAACCAAGGCCAGAAAGAAGCCAAGTCTGCGGAAGGACATGTACCAAAAGATGATTGAAGTCGATCCCGAGGCTCCAACAGAGGAGGAGAATGCTCAGCATGCAGTAACCAAGCCTCGATACATGCAGTGGAGGGAAACCATAAGTTCTACGGCAACTCTTGGGTTCCGGATCGAAGGAATAAAGGTGAGGCTGTTGAACCCATTCAGTGCATAGCAGAGAGAAGAACCCAGAGAAAATTCTCTTAAGAGCCATGACGCTATGATTAAAAATACAAATATTGTATGTGCTTGCCCAGCTAGGCTAGATGTTAATGCAGCTTTGTAGATTAAATTAGAATGAAATTCTGGTTGCATGGAAGTTAAATGAACTGTTCCATCACCTTCCATAAATGACAGTTCTGGGGAGTATATTGTAGGAAACTTTGGAAATCTCCTGTTAACTCATTAAAGGTAAAGGTTTCCCCTTGACGTTAAGTCCAGTCATGCCTGACTCTCGGGGGCGGTGCTCATCTCCGTTTCCTAGCCGAGGGAGCCAGCATTTGTCCGCAGACAGTCTCCGTGGTCATGTGGCCTGCATGACTAAACACCAAAGTGCATGGAACGCTGTTACCTGCCCACCGAAGTAGTACCTTTTTATCTACTTGCATTTGCATGCTTTCGCGCTGCAAGGTTGGCAGGAGCTGGGACGGAACAATGGGAACTCACCCCGTTGTGCAGATTCGAACCAGCGACCTTTTGATCAACCAGCCCAGCAGCACAGCAGTTTCAACCACTGCGCCACCTGCAGTCCCTGTTAACTCATACACACACTCTTTTCCCTCCTGTTCTGCAACATAAATAGATGCTGGTAGATGGTGTCACATTCTACTGGCTCTGATCCCTTGGTTCTTCTCATCCATCCCATGTGCCTGCATAATTGGGCACTCGCAGAGCTCTGCTTTTTAAAATAAACATTCATGTGCTCTGCTCAAGCAAGTGACCAGACTTGTGCATAGAAAAGTCTGCAGCATAACGTAGTGTGTGAACTAAGAAACTCAGTGTGGATGCAGGCAGAGACTCAGGTTGCCTGTAGCCTTCAGCCTGGCAATGTGCTGAGCATTTATCTTCTCTATTGCTTTCCCGGATATCCCGAGAGCTCCGTGATGCTCGGCTTACCACATGGCTGCAGGCGGCAGGCCTTACCACACTCTCACAATTGTGTGGATATCTGGGGAAGCAGGAGAAGTGAGTTGCTGTGAAAAGAGAACATCCTCTTCAGACATGCAGCCAAGCCCATGACTGGAGGCTTCAGATACCAGTTCTCCACACAGCTAGAAGGGCCAGGCAGGAAATTTTAAAGCAGCCCCTACCTGGTAAATTGTTCTCTCACTCCACACTTCTGGAGTGTTGTTTTAAAACGATTTTGCTAAATTGTAGCCTGGCCCTTCAGCTACTTGACCTATCTCAGTGCTTTCAACAAGGACAGTGCGAACATGAAAGGAAGCTTCTTTCAAGGGGGCTGAAGTGGAAAGCACAGATGTAAAAGGAAATTGTCTTTTGTCCTCTCCAAATTTAAACCACATTGACCTGCTTAAATTAATATTTTCTAATTTGCATTTTTATAGCAATCTCTCTATGCCTTTTTGGAACCAACTAAGGTGTTTACAATTAAACAAAAAAGTAAACCAGTAGAAACATAATAAAATATTTAAAATGACCTTGAAACCTTAACAACAGAAAAAGTCAAAATATGTATTCTGTTCCTCTTATTTATGTGTTTATTAAATTTATATCCTACCTTTTTTTAAAAAGAATTCAAAGTGGCTTACACCATTCTCCTCCTCCTCCTCTCAATCTTATCCCCACATTAACAACAACCCTGTGAGGTAGGTTGGGCTGAGAACCTGTGACTAGCCCACAGTCACCCAGTGAGTCCCATGGCTGAGTGGGGACTAGAACCCAGATAGCCTGAGTCCCACTCCTGTGCCACATCATCACACACACGGGCTCTAAGGCTGCTGAATGCAGAGAGTGAACTTTCATGGTACAGCCCTCTCCTGGTTTTGTCTTTTATATAGAATACTAAAAGGAGAGATGTGTTGTGAACATCATAGGTTAGATTGTGTCGATTAAAGGGATCTTGCCTAACAGGGCTAAGAAAGACCCATGCCCAAGACATTTATTTATTTATTTGGAGTTTTTTATGCCGTCCCATTCACATAAGCCTCGGGATGGCTTCCAGCATAATAAATAAACGTTCATATAAATAACACTGCTGCTAGTAGGAATAAACTGCATTGCGCTGGATGGATCAGCGGTCTGGCTTTGTGACTGGCAGCTTCTTTTGTTCAAGCACTTTCATATGCTTGCATGTGGCGCAAAGGGCTGGACTCCATGTTCAGATCCTGTGATCCCCATGCCTGAGCGTGAAAAAGACATACAACTTTGCCATTCTGCCCTAGAACTCGGCAAGCTGACCAGTCTTCTTCCTGTTGCTGATTTTGAAAGTACAGCCATCTCGTATATGCTGCCCTATCTTAGATTACCCCATATCCTGTTTAATGAACGGTAAAGATGTGTAACTCCAAGTAATAACCTTGGGTTTTGTCATTGCCTTTTAAAGAAAGAGGATGGCACTGTGAACAGGGATTTCAAGAAGACAAGGACAAAGGAGCAAGTCATGGAGGCCTTCAGAGAATTTACTAAAGGAAACCGTAATGTGCTGGTGAGTCCCCACAGCCAGCTGTGTTTTAGTTTCTTGACCCAGATTAGTTCACCATGCATAACCACGTGTGGATGTGAATCAGGGTGGCCCTCCTTCTCAAGAAGGGAAGCAGCCACACGTGGCCACGAGGGTTTTAACCACTCCAAATCTTGACGTGGCTATGCAAGTTGTGATGACTCGTCTGTAATGGAACCGTAGAAACCTAAAGGCCGAGAAGGTGGAAAGGATTTACAGGGCCCGGCTGACAGAGGGAAACATCTAAACTCTGCCAGCTTCCTCTTTGCTAAGCACTTTGAGGAGGGACGATAGCATTGGAGTGACGCCAGCCTGCTTCGTTGGATATATTCCAGATCCACAAGTACAAATCATTATCCTTCCCTTTTCCTCAGAATTGAGGCAGAGGGAGGGAGGACTATGAGGCCTGGCTGGCAGCCCAGGTGGGTGAGTGAGAGTGGCAGCAGCCCATTATGAGTGACTCCTCTGAGGCCCGGTGACTTTTCCCCGACAAAGCTGAACGGCGTATCTGTAGTGTTCAAAGACTGTTGCAAAATGCCATGTGTGCCGCCACCACCCCAGCTTGCCCTTGCTAACTTGACAAGCATCGTCTGAATGAACATGAAATGGCTCTTACTGCTGAAGCTAAGCAGGTTTGGTCCTGGAAGCAAGATTGCCTTGAAAATGCATGTGTAAATTGCTCTCAGCTCCTTGGAATAAGACCAGGGTATAAACGAACAAAATATTTATATCAAGTTTATATCATGGCTTTCCATTTTAAATAACTGTCTAAAAGGGTTTATATAAAAACCAATGCAAAGAATTGACAAAGGACATCTTATTATCCTAATCACAACCAAATGCAGCAGGCATAGATTAAAAGAAGAAAGACAGCCTGAAATTGCAAGATGCCAAAGGTCTTGGAAAATAAAATAGTTTTTACCTAGTACCTAAAATATAAGTGATAGCAATGCTAGCAGATATAGACTTGTCTTAATAAGACTTTATTATGAAATTTTGTTTTATTTCAAAATATTGTACCTGTTTGCAATCTGATCAAAAGTTTGAAGGACTTCAACACAGGACATCATGGCACAGTGCAATGGAAGATTTCTTATGCCTCCGCCAAATTTTGCTTTGCATTCTCTGTGACTCACATATATGGGCTTTGCCCCTGCCCGGAACAGCATTCAGGACATTCTACAGCTAAGCACAGCTTTTGGCAAGAGCGCTGCCCTCTGCCCTGCACACACTCCAGGCGTGGCTCCCACTTGCTGCTCAGCTCCTTCTTTTCCACCACAGCAACAACCAACATTTTGGAATGCTTTCTGCTTCACGACCTTTAAAATATCTATAAATGTTATTTTCTCTTCGCCTCCCTTTTTCTACTGCCCTCTGAGGCATGCAGCAGATTTTCTTCTTTTCTTCTTCTGTCCTATCATCTCTGAGATTTTCTGTCCTTCCCTTTCACCGCTCAGGGGCACATGGGCCTCCAAGCCCTTTTTCAAAAAAGTGCTCCAGCTGCAGTGGGAAAATCCCATCAACAGTTGGACACTCAGAATGCCTTGTGTACTTCAAGAGACGCCCACTGCAAAGTCTTTCCTGAACAGGCCAGAAGTAGGTCTGCCTTCCTCCACGACTGGGAGGCAACACAAAACCAGTCCTTACTGCCCCAACCACTACCTGCAAGAGACTGTGCCCCTCCTCGGTTGATGTCATGGAGGACACAGGCCCAACCTGTCCCTTCTAAGGCATCTACAAGTCCAGTACTGACACCTTTCTTTGGTCCAGCATCTTAAGACCTGTCCTCAGAACTCACAGATGATACTGAGCAAATCAAATAGACTAAATCCCATTCAAAATGCCGCAGATACTAAGGTTTTGTAGCCAAAATGAAAGAAGCTACTTGTCAAATCAAATCTGACACAGAACTGGAACTTCTGTCAGCTACATACCAACCACTTGGGTATGATGAATAACCTCTCCATCTTCATCAGCTGCCTAAGGAGTTTTCCTCAGGCACTGATAGGATATGTTGAGAGATGACCATGCTCACTATTGCTACTACCAATACTCTTTGTATTGCTAGAGAGACCTCCCCCTATGAGGTTACTGAGTGCTCTGTTTACTACCAGCACCAACCATCTCTTCTTACTTGGGAATCTTGGAGTCTTCTTCACACACAGTTCTGAGCCTCCTGAAACTGCACCTTCAGCAGAGCCTGCTTTAATTGTTTCAAGTACCCTACCTCTCCTTCAGCTGCCATGTCTGGACAATTTCTTTCAAAATTTCATTCCTAAGAAAGCCCCTACTATGCAGTCTCCACTGATTATTCAACTTGCACAACTTTGAGATGTCGAAACACCAACTCTTCCTCCTCCAGCATCAGTCCCCTCGCTGGAAGTTGGAGTAGGGACATGGAGGTATCCATACCGGGGCTGGGAATCTCATGGATTCCCTGGGCTCCACTGAACTTTGTTGTAGCCCCAGGTCCAACTTCCTAGTGAGGGTACACAGCATTTGCAGGGTGCTTACCTGGAATTGAACCCCATGCACTGCTTTGTGTTGTTGCACCTTGTTGCAAAAAGGGACTTCTGCTCAGCTCACTTCGCAACACCAGGCCAAGCATGAGAGGAAGTCCATGAATGCCAGATTTGAGTGACTTTCACCCCAGCCCCATGCTTAAGGTGGCACCATAATCCCTTATCTGCCTCAGACAATATCAGACCTCACAGAGAACAGATTCTAAGGATGACTAAATCTCTTGACTAAATCTCTAAATGACTAAATCTCTTGGCCTGGAGATTAAGCTTCCACTGGCTCCCATCACTAACCCATTATTTATCAGAGTTCAAATTGACATGACACCGCAGGGGTTGATCCAGAAGTGGCTGACACCCAATCCAACATTGTTTGCTTGCTGCTCTTGTCCAGTAAGCTTATACTTAGTTTCTCAGACATGATTGATCTGCTCCTCTTCAGGCAAGAGTTTGTGCTGTCATTGAGAAGAATAAAGCCGCTTGAGATTGTTTTGATAATCTGCATCATAGTCAAGTGGGAATGAATTGGACCTTTGGACCAAAATTGGCCACTTGACACATCAAGTTGGCTGCTGCGATTCTTGACGACCCTTTCTCTGCTGTAGCAGTTGGAGCTAAAGGACCAAACTACAATTTAGGGAAGGGCCAGGTGGGCAGGGGATCAGTGACTGTGTGTCCGTGCACATCTGTAATCTCTCACATTGCAGACCACATAAGGCTATGTGTAGCCCTTGGCTATGCTGTGACATGCCTTGCTCTAATATCAAAATTAGGAATGGCGCTCCTATTAAAGGAGCAAAAGTTGTGAATGACTGTGAGTGGGAAACCTTTTGATTAGAGGAAAATGGCACCTCTTTAAGGAAACAGTTGGATATGGGGTACCTGGAAACTGTAAATAAAACTACCCATCTTTTATAAGCTCATGTTTTACCTGCTGGGAATTAGACATTTTCCTAAGGGCTGACTATTGTAACATACTTAATGTGGAGGTGACCTTAAAAAGTGTTCAAAAACTTCAGTTTGTACAGGCTATAACCATCCAGCTGCTAACTGGGCCAGGCATTCAGTTCACAATAATGCCTATACCATACTGGTTGCCTTTGGTTTCTGGACTGGGTCCAGTTTAAAGTGAAGATGACCTTTGAAGCCTCCACTGTTTAGGACCTGATTATTTGAAGGTCCTCCTGCACCCATACAACTTTGCCCACCCTTAATACCAGCTGTGGAGACCCTGCTCACTGGCCCACTGCCAAGGTTCCTTGCAGGAACTGGAGACAGGGCCTTTCCATGCTCTGTAAGGCCACTCACAAGTCACAGGGGTAAGGAGAGGTTAGGTACGCATATACTGTAGTGCACAATACAGCAACGTTTTTGTCCACTTTGGATTTCACTTTTGTTATACTTGGCAAAAATGTCGGCAGTTATTTCCTTAGACCCTCCTCCACCCCCTGTGCATTTGTGGCACTTGAACTTGGAAGTGCAACTTGCTTAGTTTGTAATCTTAATTTAACAGTGATCATTTGGCTTATACAGCTCTGTGTGTGTGTGTGTGTGTGTGTGTGTGTGTGTGTATCTCCTTTTAGTGTATGATAAGAACGTTCAGCATTTTGCCTTTAGCTAACAAAGTCAGTGCTTGTGTGGTAGAAGGCACAGAGTGATAGTTATTTTGAAGATTTTAACATTTTATATATTCAAAATTTCAGAACAGTTACCTTAACCGGTTGAAGGGGATCCGTGACACCTTGGAAACATCACAATTCTTCAAGACCCATGAGGTGAAACTGGCCGCTTTTCTTTGATTTTTTTTTAAAGTCCAGACCTGTCTAATGAGTGCAGTTTACTTAAAGAAGGGAACGGGATTTACTGGAAAAGGCTGGGAATGGCGCTCCCATGCCACGTGCAGCTGTTTCTTTCTTTCTCCTGCCTGGGCCCCTGTGTATGCATTGAGAATACAGGGAGGCATTTTCACAACTTGCTTGACACTTAAGGAAGCTGCATACCCCTGGACGACTGGAACATGACCTTTCAATTTAGGCCAACATTCAATGGTCATTTTAATTTGCTGAAATAAATCGGGCTTTTAACCAGCCTTGAACCTTGGGAGTGGGAGGGGTGGGAGATGGCAAGGATAGTTTCAGCTTTACTAATTGGCAAAGAAAAAGTTTCAGATCCTCCGATGTTGCGTACTTTAACTTCTCTCTCTGGCTATAAAAGCTAGAAGTTTGTGTCCTTGCAGTTAGTAAAATTAATAAAAATTAATTTAATTTAAAAGGTGGTTAGCGTCAATTCAACACTAAAGTGCAGACCTGTGTTACAGTGCCAGTTTCTGTCTCTGGATGGATGGCATGCCCATGGATGGTGTCTGATCATCAATCATTTTCTGTTTTTCTCTTGCAGGTAATTGGGAGCTCCCTTCTTTTCATTCACGACAAGAGAGAGCAGGCCAAAGTCTGGATGATTGATTTTGGGAAGACCACCCCCCTTCCAGAGGGACAAGTCCTCCAGCATAACGTGCCCTGGATAGAAGGGAACAGAGAGGATGGTTACCTCTGGGGGCTGGATAACCTCATTGCTATCCTAGTGGAATTGTCTCAGAGCGAAGACTTGCTTTAAGGCCCGACGTTCGACTCCGTCACTACCCGGATCCCAGCCCCTCAAACTGACTCTCTGAACTGCACTACAAGACACTTTCCCCCGACCCTTTTCCTTCCAGTTCTAAAAGTTAGAAGCCCTTTTATTTAAGGTGTAAATATGCAGTTACGTGTCAGAACAAATGCTGAACATGAAGCACAATGTAGGCGATGAAAGTGAGTAGCAATAGTGGCCTTTCTAGGTATTAGCAGTTACTGACTCCAGTCTCTGGCCAGCCAAAGGCATAACTCCTCCCTCAGTAGAATATCTAGCTCTTAGGTCACTGGTGTTTTCCCACACAACATCTTCTTGTGTTCGGGCGTACACCATTCCCATACACCTCAGCAGAATGAAGATAGTGCCATAGTCTTGCTGAAGTAATATCTAGCACATAGATCCCAGAATGGAAGATACATTCATTTATAGCTATCTACTGCCCTCTCATGGCCAAAGTTAGTATACAATTTGGCCCATTACTGTTACAGGCATGGCCACGTAGAGCATAGTGTGTGGTTTCCAGGTGGTCCCTTTTCCTGTGAATTTCCCACATAAATGAGATGGTAGAGTCCAGAACTTACTAAGAGAAGAACCTGAGAGAAAGAGAGATGCATTTTTTTCTGTGAGGCAGCAACTTTAATTTACTAATCTCCTTCAATGTAAGAATCTGCATATAAGAGCTTATAGGTCTATTTCATATCAGCTCTACATTTCTATGTACTCAAGAAATTTCTTGTTGGCTTATAACTACTGTGCAATACTCGAGTGGCTGCAGGGATTGCAAAAGTCTGCTTCTGAGGGTTGCCTTTGGTGGTGCATCTAAGTTAGCTACTGTGGTAGGTTTGGGCTGCTTGGGACAAGATGTTTGGATCCTTTGCTCTAGGCTTCAGTTGCCTTGGAGTGACCTGGTAGTGTGTCAGCAGAAGGGCTATAATACCAGTGGGTTGGTAAGGACGACAATTGTCATTGGTGAGGTATCTCTTTATTAGCACTGTGGACCCTTTCAAAGTGGCAAACAGATTCTCAGGTGTGCACTTGCAAAACATTCCAGTTATCACATCTCAAAGTGTGGCATTAACTCAGCCTAAAAAAAGCAGCATTTTAGAATGGTGGGCTGCACACAGCTTTCCTGTATCTTCAAGGAATGTGAAGGAAGTGTGTCATCCTTGGTAGGGTGCAGTTGATAAGGCATTTCTCTTAGTCCCTAAAATTTGTAGCTCTTCCCATATGCCTGGTTTTTTTAAGAAGGTTGTATCTAAGGATTTGCCACTTTCAGTCTTGCAAAAACATCTACTTCTCTATTTTAGGGTGGAGGCTATTTTATAACTTCCTGGAACGTTTAAACTAAGCAGATAGCTTGCATAACAGCCTGCCTGTTAAAAGGTCAGCATCTGAAAGAACTGTGCAGAGGGGAAAGCTGCTGGTGCATTTTGTTTTCTTGGGGAAAGAACCTGGAGAGGGGGGACTGTGCTGAGTTTAGGTCACAAATCTTCCAGAGCTGTTTCTCTGGCTGGTTTCTTTTCTGACAAGTCCATAAACCCTTTTGTATTCATGGTAACTCAAAAGTCCATTGCTACTAGTCTTTCCGGTAGAATTGCTGTAGCCCTGCTTGCCTGGGCCATGACGCGGTTTCAGTTTCTTGCACTGGGAGGTTCTGCTCTTTCAACAAGGGAGCATGTGTGTTTTGGAGGCTGGGGAGATGTCCTTTGGGCACTGGTCAACATGCCACCCCTGTGCAAGCCTTTCATGAGGACTCAGCCCTCTTGGAATTCCTTCAGTTCGTATCTCACAGGGCACATGTCGCTCATTCTTCAGTGCTATTGTAAATAGTTGCTTTGTTCTGCCACTTTCCCCCATCAGGCTTCCTATGCTGTTTAATAATAGCCTATGTGGAAGTGCCTTATGGACCAGTTTCGATTCCATTAGTGTCATGGAAAAGCATTTTTGGTTGTTGTTTTTTTAAGTTCTATTTATTGCCATCCTTTTTTTAGTTGCCTAGAACACTAAGTCTTAATGCATGGAATCTTTTAAAGAATAATGTTTAGTTTTTAAAACATCTTTTTCCACGTTTGTGGAGGGGGAAAATTCCATGAAGCAGCTTAAGTTTATACAATTTTTGAACTGTATTTAGCTTTTAAATTGCTTTTATTATATACATTTTATTTTTTTTAAGCCTGTTTGTTTGCAAAAGCAAGATACCTTGCTTTGTGGCTTTAAAAGAAGTGACTTATTTCTCCAGATGTCTTTTAGATCTTTTTGGAGGCTGGAACTGTTGCTGTGAGGTAGTTCTCCCCATACCCTTTGCATCATTTCTCTTCAATTAGTGATGTCACACAAACTTGCAGCATTATGAAACACCACCAATGCACAGTGCCTGTAAGTAAAATAAGTCAAAATAAAGGCATACAACATGTTTGCTTTTGTGTAATTATTTTGGTCCCATAGCAAATGTACATCTTCAGCATTTAACAGGTTCCTGAGCCTTGACTTGTTTGAACTCCTGAATGCTCAACTTGTCCATAGACTGGACTTAGTAGCTCTGTTGCATTTTGCAGTGAAATTAGCTGGCAAGGCATGTGTTTGATCAGTCGCTTGCGATTGCTTGGAAAAGGGCAACAGCCCTGGCCGTGTCTTATGTAGCAATGAGCCTGCACAAGGCAGAAGAGGCTAGAACATCACCTGGCTTCCGTTGTCTTGTGCAGAATAAGGAGCACTCTGCTCTAGTATCAGTCCCTCTAATACTGCCTAATAGAAAGGAAAGAGCCTTGCATTTGGAACTCTGACAGTACACTTACATATACATGTGCTGGTTTCACACATGCATTATATCCATCGCTTGCTGTCTCCTGGTTGGTTGATGGCAGTTGTACATAAAGATCCTGTCTGGGACAGTATGATTCTTATGCCAATAGTGTTGGACCGTCACAAATACATGTAATTATTTCATTTTATTCAATTCAACAGGCAACAAGCATCCTAGTTTGAACTAGGCTTAATGACCACAGAGTCCAATCAGTGAGGTGTAGATCATGTGTCCCAGATGGAGATTTTCCAGTTTTATTAAGTTTTAATATGAACCACATAAAAGAGAAAATAAACTTCTTTGCAGAAATTAAAACATGCATGCATGAATACTTTTGTATCTCTGTAAGTATATGTAGGTGTGTAGTGATACAGCTATCCATAGAAAAAGTTATGCATAACCTTTAGAACAAGTGGACTAAATACCTCTATATTTAACCAACCATAGGTAGTGTTGAATACCACCTGTTCAAATCCTCAGTCCATTGCAAAATCAGAGGTGGGCATTCTCTTTCCAGTGTTGCAATATCACTCTCTGGTTGCCAAAAGGGCCTGGAAAATCCACTTCAGTGATCCTTATGATAAATTCCATACAGCAGATTATAATTTAGAAGAACATTTGCTTTTCAAGTTCCCTCATACAGTTGAGCACTAAGTAGACAGTTCAGGTTATTGTACTTCTTTGTATATTTAGAAATATTTAACAGATGTATAGTCAACCTTTGAGGTGCAATCCCATGCATGACTGAGGGCACATCCGCCTGCCCAGACCATGCTGAGCCATCAAACAGCCTGTTTTCCCCATGCAAGTGAACGGGGTGGTTTCAGATGGAGGTGATGCTGAAACCCTTTCCCTCCAGACTATTTTTGGCACAGCTGCTTCCCTACTTCCAACTAAGTTTAATAGTTTTTCACTGACTTGAGGGTGAGATGTCTGCCCCCAACAAAGGTGCCCATGGTGATTTCTAAAAATGTCAAAGGTATCTACAAGCCCCAAGTGCCCTCCATATTTGAATAGCAACCAGTGACAGACTGTAATGTACCTCTTGTATGAGTGAATCAGTTCTTTCTGAAAAGTTACCTGAAAGAGACAAAACGTTGAAAATAAGTGGTGTTTAACAGCACTGAATGTAAAGGGAAAGATGTAGGAGGATCACTAGTAAGTCTACTTTAAATGTATATCACAGGAAGGGAAAATTGTGACCTCTCCTGCCCAGGTTATTTGTTACTCATTTTCTAAATTGTCAGCAAACACGAGACATTGAAGGCAAAAAAAAAAAAAAAACCAGAATAAATGCAGCTGGGGGAATTCAAGCCACTGAGACTGGGATGAATTTGGGCAGGTACCTAAAAGATAGGACCAAGGGCATCTGGGAATGCTGGCTGACTAGGCAAGGAGTGCCACAGGCTGGAGCCATCACAAAAAGGACCTTAACTTGCATCCACCTGCTGAACCTGAGTGGCTGTAGCTGGGTGGTCTAGATCGTTAAAGCGGATAGTGCTGAAGTCATAGGATATGATTCAACTGCTAAGTCTCTCTCAAGGTGCTGCAAGACTCTCTCTATTATTTTTACTTAATTGAGCTGTTTGAATGTATGCTAATACCTCTGAATCTGTTCTTACACTGGGCTCCTGTTTCTAGTGTCAAGCATCTCGCTAAATTTTCCATGGCTCCTCCTTGGCTCTCAATGCAGATATAGTACAATCTTCTCCAACCTGGACCCCTCCAGATGCTTTGGTTTGCAGCTCCCAACATCCCCGATTATTGGAGGCTGAGGAAGTCCAAGGCGTCTGGATGGCACAAGGCCAGAGAGGGCTGCCATAGTGTCTATATATTTCAGATTCTAGGTAAATTCTTTAAAACATCCGTATCTGGTGACACAGCGAGTGATTGAAAAGGACAAGAAGTTCTTTTGCTTCATGAGCTTTGCTTTAGTGGAGGTTCTGATTGGTAATCCCTCTTTAATTGTACTGTGTGTGCAGAGGCAAAAAACAAAGACCACATGTTCAATCCCTGGCTTTCTCCTAACCAGTGTTGGCTCCAGAATCGTTTGTTTTCCCTTTTTCCTTTTTGGAGTGTGGGCGGGCTTGGACAGGATGTCTACAGTAGGCCCTCCTCCATGAGAGCTATCTCTTTGCCTCTCCACCCCACAGCCCAAGATGCAGGGTAGGGCAGGCTAGTCCTCCTTCCTCTGGCCACTTCCCCCATACTTTGGAAGGGCAGGTGAATGGGAAGCAATGGTTAAGAAGCGGAAGAAGGACGGGTGCTCTGGGGGTATGGACAGAGCCCCCTTCTGGGCTGTGGCAGCCACACAATGGTCCCAACCCCAAAGCTGGCCCAGACCCCACCCCTCCACTTCATCCCTTTAGCTGAGGTTCTACAACACACTCGATGTCCTAAGGCTGACACACGGGGAAAGATCAGGAAGCCTGGCCCACCTTCCAAAGTGTCCCACAACAAGGCAGGTGGTGCTTCTTTTTGCCAAGAGGGGGCAGTGCTTGGATAGCTGGCAGGCTTGCTTCTGTCCCTATTGGATATACTCTGTTTCACTTTCAGAAGACTACAGTAAAAACAGATGCAACATTTACTTGGGCTGGAAGATAATGTCTGTACCAAATGAGGCATAATTTCCTGTAACTGCTAAGGCGGCACCACAAACACCTCCCCTAAATGTGAAATTCTGCCAATCTCGGGAACTAATTTCTGAAGGTTTGCATATGCTAAGCACTTCCCTTCTCCCCATATCCAGCATTGTAGGTGATTGGTCCTTGCACTGTAAGCGCAGAAATAGGATCCCTTAACCGGAGTCAGGCTGGGAGGAAGGAAGCGTTAAACTTTTGCCACTGCTGTGGTGTCAAGCCAAATTGGAGGATGAGGCATTCTTGGTATTTGTGTTTTGTTTTTCTTTTTTAAAGTAGACATACAAGTGTAATTACATGGCATTATAAGTAATTACATTATGAATAGCAATGTCTAGTTTGGCCCTCAGACATCATGCTGCATTTAAGTTTCTAGCTCATAAAATTGCAGCAATAGTCTTAGAATTTCTTACTGAAATCTAGCATTTTCAGGGCCCAGCACAGTACTTAACTTCTCTTAGTAATTAAAGGATAGGTTATACAAAACAAGAATATGTATGTATGTATTGATGCAGGATTGTTTTTTAATTGCAAGATACATATTTATTATTTGAAATGCTGATACTCTGCCTTTCTGTATGTCACACTGGTGGTTTAACAGTGCATGTAAATAAAGATTTGTAAATCAACTAGCAGTAAAAGCATAAATAAATTCACAATGTTACAGCAGAACTGGCAGTAAAAAAGAGTTTTCAAAGGTAAGTATTTGGCCTTGAACTCCATTTTGCCTTCAGTCCTGCCCATCTCTGGGACATTGACCCCAAGAGCTTCTCCCAAACTGAACCTGTCCCTTGGTCTGAAGGGATACAACATGCCTAAGATGAATAGAGCATTGTTGCCATAATATTGAACTCCCCGGATTGATCAGAACGCTTCATTAAAAATACAGTGAAAGTCCTTAGCAAATAGTAAGGAGCTGAGAATTTGCATCACTCCGTGAGTAATTAATAGCTCTTTTTGAGACAATAGAAAAAGCTCCATCATTGCAACCCAGCTGAAAGTGAGCCAAACTGCAGCGATTGGCAGCAGAGCGCACTAACTCTGTACAGGCTTTTCCCTCACCCTTTGCAGTTCTGTGATGAGAAAATACGTCTTCATTCCAAATCATTAGATGATGTCCTCAGGCTAAGTATAGTGAATCATATTACAGGAGTTAAAACTCAATTATGCACTTTTTGTTTTCTAAATAGCTGCTCAAATCGGACATGAGCTTTTGTTCTTTAAATAGTGCTGAAGCTAAGAGAGCAAGGTGGACTTAGGAGGAATTTCCTCATTCACTTCCATGGAAGGGACAGTTCTACAAGTGGTAATCTAGTTGGGGCACATGGATCCAACTCACTCCAGTGACGTGAATGAGAAGTTGTATATCAATGAGAGATCTGAATACAGACAGTTCTCGGTTTACAAACGAGTTCCTTCCTGAGAAAACAAATTCATTTTAAGTCATATTTGTATGTAAGTTGAATCACGTATAGTGGGCCCTCCATATTCGTGGGGGTTAGGGGAGCAGGACCCCAGTGAACTTGGAAAAAGCACGAATATCTCTAGGGCTGCCCTGCCCAAATTCACCAGTGTCTCTTCTTTGCAGCAAGGAAAAGCCAGTGAGATTTCCCTCTCCAAATGAGCAAGGCAGGAAGGTTTGCTTTGGAGGCCTCCCCTCTCTCCCCGTCTGCTTCCTCCCTCTCTGTGGCATGGGTGGTCCGTGGACCAAATACGGCCCGCCATGCTCCTTTATCTGGCCCACCTCAGAGCTTTTGGACTTGCTCGGAGAAAACAATCTCCGAAGACGGGCACGTTCATGATCATACTTGGGAGGGGGAGATGGCTGCGATTGTGCTGGGGGGGGGGGGAGATGGCCATGATTGTGCCCGCCTTCCCTGCACGAGTGCACCCACGATCTCGCCTGCCTTCCCTGCATGCACGATCGTGCTGGGGAGTGTGGGGCGATGGCTGCGATTGTGGCCACCTTCCCTG